AAGTGAGAAACAAAGCACTTCTGGATTCACTTTTAAACCTGCTTCCAGAGGCCAAAATCCTGCTGCCAATGTTTTGTTTTTTGTACAGTATGTTTCATTAATTCATTAAACTTAGTGTGATGACCCAAAGGGGCGTGGCACAAAGGCAACACAGTCAGATAATCAGTAGGAGTCCCTTTCTTAGCTCCAACTTTGCCCCCAATGTCCAGGTTACCTTCTGGCTGGAGAAAAACTCTCCCAGGATCAGCCTTGGGTTGCAGAGAATCAAGTCCAAAACGTGGTCAACAAAAACAGTAACTAAAAGTCTAATCAAGGCAAGATGAGGTAATTAGTCTGGCAGGGTAGGAGAAGGAATTCCAGATGTGAAGGCACGGCAGTAATTCAACCCAGTTGGGAGAATGCCAGGAATGCAGATAACCAAAGTCAACACAGGATTAGCTCATGTTTGTTCCCAGCAGACGCCGCACTCAGTTTGCATCTCTTTTAAACTCTCATTCCCAGGTGTGACTAATGAAGGGAATCAGGGCCCTTTCCTCCCCCGTAAGCCACCCAACCCACATTGCTCCCTTCTCCATTCCTCCCTGTGTGACCTAGGATGAAGAGGGGGTGGGCCTGGGTCTTCCTCTGAACTCCCTCTCCCTTGTTCTACCTCCCCCTGCTCTGCCCAGCTGGACTTTGCCCTTCCCCAGTTTCCTCCACAGCCAACGGAGCCACACTCCCGCTCCCTGTCAGCTGTTTGTCTTTCTCCTCCTGGGATTCAGACTCCGACAGGGGATGGGGCATGACACTTAGGAATCTGTCTCACTTTACTTAAAAGACTGTTACAAAGCCTCTTGTTTATGGTACGTCAAATGTTTATGCCATGCTGGTGGGCCTTATCACATGCCCAACACAACAACATGCCCACTACAAAAGCAGTAATTTAGCCCTTCAAATTGTGTACATAATTCCAACACTACTACAGGAAATAGCTGAAGTGTACAGAGGTATATTTTGTGGTACCCGCAGTAAAGCAGTATTTCGCTATATTTCCTTAAAATGTATATCTCTCCTTCATATCTATGGATGGTCAGGGAATGGTTATATCCAAAGTAACAATTTAAACATCAAAGCAACCAGGCAGAAAACATCAATAAACCTAACCACCAAATTGCAACAAAAAAGCATTTTGCAACACAATGTTGACCAAATTGCAATATTTATGGTAATTATATGTTGGTGGATTCTGCCAACAACCAAACTGAATCTTCACATTTTTGTCAGTAGAAAGTCATCAGGGAAGAGTCGATCTAGTCTGAAGACCTGAAGTCACATGGGGATAAAACCTCCTACAACTTCCAAAACTCAAGGATTTGGCTGGTTTTTTTAAACAGTCTGCCCTTAGCAAGGAGACATAAAGCTCAGAAGCAGCTATCAAAGATATTCTTCTAAACTGGGGCAGATAGTAGATAGTGGGTAGTTACTTGATTTCGTACACCAAAAACACTTCAGAGCCCAAAAGTGCTTTTTTCAAGAGGACTTTCTCTGTTTTCCTTGAAAACGTTTCTCTTCCAAAGAACTGAAGCAGCTTCTTGGATGAGAAGCGAAACGTCTTCAAAGGAAAACAAAGAAAGTCCAGTTGCCCCTTGAAAAAAGCACTTTTGGGACAGCCATGACTTGGAGGATTGAGGCTCTCCATAGATATCTCATTGCCTCTTGCACAAATCAACCTCGAATTGTGCCACTTCACAAAGGAGGAGATAACTATTGCATTATAGTTAGAATTATAGTAAGAAGTTACTAGCCCTGGCAGGAGTCAAGCGGAAGGATGCACTAAGCACTGGGTTAAATTTCAGGGATTAAGTTGTTTTCCCCCAAATACATATTTCCGTGATTTTTATGGATTCCATGAAGTTTGCCCTGGGGTTTTCCATGTCTTCTCTTTTGTCCTCTAATTAGGACCTTAATTCCAATGCTTACTAATGTAAGATAATAAAAACCAGTGTTCACGTCACTTTTCTGAAGCATTCATATCTCCTTTCCTCTGCCACCCCCAAAATTGGATGTTTTCAGAAGTGCGTTGGCCTAAAACGATCCATTTAAAATTTTTCTTCCAAAGAGGTGACAGAAAATTAGTGAGGCAGGGATTGTTTCAGGAAATAATCTGATCAGCTCTTCATTAAAATTCTATTAGGTTTCCAATAAAGGAAGGAGGCTTCAGAACCAGAGACAATTAAAACGAACACTGGAAAGATTTAAATAGGCCAAAATTGCACACAGTTCCAGGTGGTTTATTATATATATATATATTTAAATTACCACTCAAAAATGTTTAGCAATATGTCCACCAAATGTTGGAAGTGTAATCAAACCCCAGGAACCTACTATCATATGTGGTGGACTTGCACGAAAGCAAGAAAATATTGGACAAAAATGCATACATGGCTGGAAAAGATGATTAAGCAACATATAGATTTGAAGGCAGAAATATTCTTGTTGGGTATAATGGCAGAGGGCTATGATAAAGGGACTGTATATATCTATTGATGTCTGCAAGGATTGTATTTGTGCAATGTTGGAAAAATGAGAACACCCCATCAGATGAGGACATAATTCAGAAAATACTAGACTATGCAGAGATAGATAGATTGTCATTAAAAATAAAGGACAAAGAAGTCACTGAATATTACTTAACATGGAATAGATTTTATGAATGGTTAAAGAGATAAGAGGTGAAATTAGGTGAAGAAAGATTACTGTTATGAATGAATTAAATATAAAGAGGGTTTATAATTATAAATATAATTATCAATATTACAAATAAGTTAACACAAAGAGAAATTCAGTTAAAATTACATTGTTACATTACTATTGTTTTTAGTATATATGTTAATATCTCTGCTTGTTTTCTTTTTGCTACTTTGGAAATTATATGCTGTGACAGTAGAAATAGAACAGAACAGAACAGAACAGAACAGAATAGAATAGAACTCTTTATTGGCCAGGTGTGATTGGACACACAGGGAATTTGTATTGGTGCAAATACTCTCAGTGTACATAAAAGAACATTCATCAAGAGTCAAGAATCATCAGGTACAACACTTAATGATAGCCATAGGGTACAATAAGCAATCAATTCATACTAGGAAACAGTCAATCTAGATCATAGGGATACAAGCGACAAAGTTACAGTCATAAGTGGGAGGGGGTAGGTGATAATTGTTTAGCAGAGTGATAGCTTTTGGGAAAAAAACTGTTCTTGTATCTAGTTATTCTGGTGTGCAGTGCTCTATATTCAAAATACAGTACACTGTATTCAAAATGTTTATGAATAAAAGTAAAACGTATACTTAAAATTACCACTCTGGCCTTCCTCCAAGCTTTAAATTAAAAAGAAAAAAAGAAATTCCATTTCTTTTCAAGCTGTTTGGAAGCGGCTATCATGGCAACGACTTCAAGGTATCATCCCGGTGTTTGGATTTCTGGCTTACATTGTGTAAAGAGGCTCAGCTAATTAGCTTTAGTTAATTACTCTGTGTCTTTAATGGGGCTTAGCTCTTCCTTTCGCACATCGGCAATCCTCTTAGCCTGTTCATAAATATTAACTGAAGCTGGATTGGAGGGAAAGAAAAAATAGAAGACATTGTCCTTCCTAGAGTCATTACTTTGGTCGGAGCTGATGGCCAATTGATAAGCCGATCCAATTTAGAAAAATTTCAAGTGAGAAGTCTTTCCCCTCCCCCCAGTTTATCAAATGACAATTACAGGAATTGAAATTATGCATGACAAATGCAGATATTTTTTTTTCCCAAGAAAAGATGTCTTTTTCCCCAGTGATACAGGCGATCCTCAACTTACAACCTCAGTCGAGCCCAGCATTTCTGTTGCTAAGTGAAATATGCGTAAAGGAGTTTTGCCCCCATGTTACGATCTCTCTTGCCATGGTGTTTAAGTGAATCACTGCACTTGTTGGAGTGAATCTGGCTTCCCCCCGTTGACTTCGCTTGTCAGAAGGTCCCAAAAAGGGATCACATCATCCCTGGGACGCTGCAACTGTCATAAATATGAAACAGTTGTCAAACCTCTTTGAATGCAAATGTCAACTCATAAAACATTTCTAGGGTCTTTTTAAGAGTTGCCAACAGAAAGGGAGAGGGGAGCAGTGCAGCAGCTTGCAAACTGAAAGTGCATTCCATAAATGTTTTCAAAGATAGTAACTAGGTGACCGAAGTTTCTGCAGTACAAAATTCTAACTGGAGAGCCTGATTGATGACTCTGGGCGATGGATGTGTCCCATTGGAGAATATGAATTAGGATACACCCAGAGGGGTGGAGGGAAAACCAGGGTCAAGGGTCACAATGAATGATGTGTCTCAGAGTCGGTTACACCCAGGCAATGCCGGACATGTTAACTCCTAATAAATCCTTTTTAAGTTTTGGAAGTTTGGCTCGAGACTCATGATTTAATTGGGGTGACTGCCGGAATCCTGACAGTAAAGCACATGACCAAGGGGATGCTGCAACAGTCATTAGGGTGAAAAACCGTCCTAAAACATTTTTTTTTCAGTGCCATTGTAACTTTGAATGATCACTAAATGAACTGTTGTAAATTGAGGACTACCGGTACCACAAAAAGATGAGGTGTTTTTTCTTTTAAATGTGTTGATTACTTGAAAACTGTTAGTGTCTTGATGCCTGTAATGGGTGCACTTAAAGGGCGATCTTGCTTTAATTGGTTGAAAAGCTACTGCAAGGCACATGACCTGGTTGTTGTTGTTGTTGTTGTTATTATTATTATTAATTTCCCCCTCCACCTCTTTCCTCTTCCTCTTACCACCACCTCCTCCTCCTCTTCCTCCTCCCCTCCTACTCCTTCTCTTCTCCTTCCTCCTCCTTTTCCTCTTCCTCCTCCTTCTCCCTCCTCCACCTCTTTCCTCCTCCTCTCCTCCTCCTCCTCCTCCTCCTCCTCCTCCTCCTTCCTTCCTTCCTTCCTTCATTTATTTATTTATTTATTTTTGCAGGAATGTAAGTTCGGATGGGGCCGAAGCACGTCGGAGACTCCGGGAATGTGAAGGTTTGGTAGATGCTCTTCTCCATGCTTTGCAGTCGGCAGTCGGCAAAAAAGATACAGATAACAAGGTAATCTCCGGGTTGCGTGTCTGAAAGGGAATTGTAGCTCTCAGAAGAAAGTCTTGTATTCGTTACATGTGAAGACCAACACCGATTGGATCCTGCAATATTTATCCTGGGACACGTATATTTACCTTTATTTGCATAGGACATTTGCTTAAAAATCCAAGTGTCTTCAACTAAGGGAGAGTCACCTGAGTAGGAGAGAAGACAACTGGACATCCATTTGTCTGAAAGGGTCTATAGGGTCCCCTGCTTGAGAAGGGGGCTGGACTGAATGATCTCCAAGCTCCCTTCCAACCAGGGGTGGGATTCTACCAGTTTGCACCAATTCGCCAGAACCGGTTGTTAACATTCTAAGCAGTTCGGAGAATCAGTTGTTAGAAGAAATTACTGGCCTAATCCTGTAAGGAAGGCAGGAAGGAAACATTCTGGTGTTGCTTACGGAAACTGCCTCTCCGTTAACCTTGATTACATTCTTGGCAGGACTAGACTTCCTGTCTCTGGAACTTCTCTGGACTTTTTTTCCCCTCCTTTACTGGTACTTTGCTTGTGTGGAGTGACCATTCAAAGTTACAATGGCACTGAAAAAAGTGACTTATGACCATTTTTCACACTTACGACTGTTGCAGATGTTCTTCTGGTTTCTCGTTCTCAGAACCCTCTTTGTGGGCATGCGTGCTGGCCATCTGGTCTTCGTGGGCGTCAGAGTGCCCGAAAATGGCCCCCAAAAGGCTGTTTTCAGGCCATTTTTGGCCCCAAAAAATGATGTGAAAATGGCCTTAAAATGGCTCAAAAATGACCTGAAAATGGTCCCCAAAAGAGCCTGAAAACAGCCCCAAAATGGCCTGAAAATGGCTCAAAAAATAGCCTGAAAACAGTGTGTCGTTGCCAGATGTTCTTCTGGTTTCTGGTTCACAGAACCTTCTCCGTGGGCATGCGTACTGGCCGTCTGGTCTTCACAGGTGCCAGAGTGCCCAAAAATGCCCCCAAAATCAGGCAAAAAAAACCCAGGCCATTTTCATGCCATTATTAGCCAAAAAAATGACGTCAAAATGCCCTTAAAATGGCCCCAAATGGCTTTTAAATGGCTCAAAAAACAGCCTGAAAACAGGTCCCCAAAATGGCAAAAAAATGGTCCAAAAACTGGCAAGCTGATCTTTAGGTTTCCGGCACGCGCATGCGCATGCATTCCGGTTTGGGCACTCAGTGCCGAAAAGGTTCGCCATCACTGTGATAGACTGTTTCGCCCAAAGTGTGAAGAATTGAGCTTCTACATACAAGTCTTCTCAGCTGTTGAGTTGCTGGCAATCATTGTGTTGGTGGGGTTCACAGTTTGTGAAACTGTGTATGTGTGTGTGTGTCTGTCTGTGTGTGTGTGTGTTTTGGGAGGGAGGAGAAGACAGAGATGGGACTTATTCCAGCAGAGCTCCCATATGCAACGTCGAAGCTTTGGCTGCTGTTCCCGGATTCTTGGGAAACCCAACGCAAACTAAACGGCGCTTGTGGTTTTCCCCTTTTTTTACCATCTGCAACTCATTAGCTTGGAGGTGGAACCTGGGGGAACATAGGCAGGGCTTCGACGTCCCTTGTAGGGTCTCTGGCTTTGAGCCGTGGCACCAGATGCATCTCAGAGGCATCCTGCAAACATATCCCTCCCCACTCCAGCTCCTTTGTCCATTGCAAATATTTGTTTGGACAAGTACTTGCTTTATTAAAAGCTTGAAGTCACCCGTCCGTTGACCTGCTATGTCGGTTGCGCCATTGGAAAAGGTAGCAGGGTATGGAAAAGAGCCATCGCTTGTTTGGAACCATGGATGGTCCGGGGTTTCCAGGACTCCCTCTGGTCTGATTTGAGTGAAGGCTGTGACCTCTGCCCTTTCAAAGCTTTTGTAACATCCCTGAAATCTTCTGTGACAGTTCTGTCATGTCTTCTGTCTTCTTCTTCTCCTTCCTCCTCCTCCTCCTCCTCTCCCTCTCCTCCTTGTTCTTTTCCTTGTTCTTCTCCTCCTCCTCTTCCTCTTCCTCCTCCTCTTCTTCTTCCTCTTCTCCTCTTCCTCCTCCTCTTCTTCTTTTCCTCCTCCCTCTCCTTCTCCCTCTCCTTGTCCTCCCTCTTCTCCTTCCTAATTTTATTTATACATTTCTTTGTCTTCTTTAAAATGCATAGGTGCTTATTAAACAGTGTATTGTCTGGATCGCTTTGCTTATACAAGATAATAATAAAATACTAGTAGTAATAATAATAACAACATCTACAACAGCAAACTAATGTTTGCTTATATATAAAATAAAATTCTTACATCATTTACTTACACATATCAGTAATCTTTCATCCTCTAATTTCTACTCCTTTTATCTAACCATCGATAAAACATATCCTATGTTGAAAAAAATAGTCTGTTTCTTCCTTTTATTATTAATGTCAATCTATCTATCTCTGTACAAAGTCTAATATTTTTCTAGTCATGCTTTCATCTGGAGGTGTATCCTCATTTTTCCAATATTGTGCGAATACAATTCTCACTGCTGTCAGCACATGTACATCCCTTTATTATAGTTTTCTGGTAGTATACCTTACAAAAATATTTCTGGTTTTAAGTCTTATGTGTCTCCCGTCTTCCTTTCTTCAGTCGGTGGAGAATTGTGTCTGTATCATGAGGAACCTCTCCTATCACGTCCACAAAGAAATTCCAGGCGCCGACAAGTTCCGGGAATTAGAAAATAACCAGTTGGGAAGTTTTGGAGGAACTCATAAGAAAAAGAAAGACGACGCAGGCTGCTTTGGTGGGAAAAAAGCCAAAGGTATGTGTGGTCCTAATACCTTGGGGGGTGATGAAGTAGGTTACACCCATTCTGCAATCTCTGTTCTGACCCAGGCTTCCCAAGATCATGAAGCGGACTCCTCGTCCTGATTAAAAAAAAAAAAAACCTTTTACTTAGGTTAAAGGGAATTCCTCTCCAGTCAAACAGTCTTTCAAGAGATTTCACAACTACAGACTTGTATCAGCTTGGAGAGTTGCCAGGCCAATATCTTCCAAACGCCATGCTGTAGCAGCAATTACTTGGCAAGAAGTCAGGAACAGATTTTCACCCTACTGAATTGAACTGATTGTCTCCTGCAAGCACCACTCCCCTTTCACTCCTCTTTATTCTCTCTGGGAGGGGGCATTCACTGTCCACCTGTGGCTTTACTCCCAAGTCAACCCTTGTTCCTTAACTATTCCCTTCTCCTGGCAGCTCTGCGCATGCACACACTGGGAACAGGCTCCAGCTGTTCTTCTGCCCCACTGATCTCCGACTCTGAATGTAGCTGACAACTGTCAGACAGCCCTGGCCCCCATCTCTGCCTCCAACGCAGAGCACTGGTCAGAGCCTTTCCCAAACTCCAGGACTGGCCCATGTTCCTCCTCAACCTCCTTATTATCTGAGTCTGCTTCCAGCTCCGCTGGCCACTGGCAGGCCACAACAATCTGATTGCAATGCTGGTTGCTCCTAAACCAGTATTTTTCCTCCAATATGGTGCCCTCCAATTGCCTTGACCTTCCAAGTCCCAGAATTCCAAGCGAGCTAGCCTGGTCAGGGATGCTGAGTGTTGCCTTTTGCTAATGACTTAGAAGCCACCATTTTTCTGTTCCTGACTGGCAACGCAAGCCATGAACAACTAGATATTAAAGACTTAGTAGAATCTCTGTAGCTCGGGGCTGAATGGTGGTGAACTCTGAGAGTGGTGGTTTGCTTGCAGACATTTCATGACCCAGCTATGTAACATCATCGGTATGGAATTTGCTACCTGTTTATACATACTAGTTCTGAACTTGCTGGCATGTTGATGCTTTATTACTTAACTAGATTGCATAATCAGTGCTAATGGGTGTAGTTTTTCTCCCACCAAAACTCTTTGGTTTTCTCCTATCAAGGAGATAACTACACCTCACCAAGTGTAAGCTTTCACTAGAGACTGTTTTGTAAGGCTGTGATTAACCTTTTAGATGTAGATTCCTCCTGGGTCCTTTCTTGGCGATATTTCTAAGAAGGGACTGATTCTAATGTAGATTTTAGTCAACTTTCCTCCTCTAACCATTGGGCATAATGAGCTGTGGGTAAACAGCTTCAAGAATCCTTGAGCTTCATTCTCCAAACAACGCATGATGGAATGAAGTGGATTGAGAAGTCAACCAAGACACACAGGATCGTGCTTAAATGCCCACGGAGGCACCATCTGTTGATTTAGTTGGGTAAGGTCACAATGTGATGCTAGAGCAGTCAGTCTATGACAACTCACCACAGACAACTTGTTGCAGCCAACTCAACATGGCCAACTTGCCATGAGCAATTTGCTCCAGCCAACTTGCCACAGGATAAACTTGTCATGGCCAACTCACTGGGGAACAAGAGTTACACTGATACCAAAGAAATGGTGGGGTACAATCATTAAAGAAAGGATGCAAAAGGAGGGGCAGAATAAAATGTGAATGACAAAAATTAAAATTTATTTATTTTAAATAATTAAATTGAACTGTTAAATTGTCCTGTGGCGGCCAACTTGTGTGCTGAGTTGGCCATGTTGAGTTGGCCATGTTGAGTTGGCCACATTGTTGGCCATGGAGAATTGTATTGAGAATTTTGCAGCAATAATTCAGCGCCAGAAAAATAAACACAGATGGCTGATGCTTCATTTAACATCTTTATAAACATAAGTAGATTTTACAAATCTACAGTTGTAGATTTCCCCAACATGGAGCAAACTCAGACAGAAACATGTTGCAAGTTCAGAGCAGGCAGTCTTCAGCAAGCAAGCAAGTTAGTTTCATCTTCAATAGACGGACTCAGAGCTGCAGAGCTTAACATAGAGTCATGCCTAAGCTACTTTTAGTTTCAGTTTCCAGCCTAGGCTGCTTCTAGTTTCAGTTTCCAAAACAGTCCTCATTGGCTGACTTAGTTGCTATGCCTCTTCATTGGCTGATCTTGTTACCAAGCTCTATTCCAATTCATGAATATACTGTTGAGTTAGCCATGTTGAGTTGGTGATGTTGAGTTGGCCATGGAGAGTTGGTGATGTTGAGTTGGCCATGGTGACTTGGCCACAATGAATTGGCTATGGCGAGTTGTCCCATTCCATACAACAGTGGTCGTATGAGGCCAGGACAATACAGATAGCCCTCGACTTACGATGGTTCATTTAGTGACCATTCAAAGTTACAACACCACCGAAAAATGACCATTTCTCACACTTACAACCGTTGCAGCATCCCCATGGTCACGTGATCAAAATTTGGATGCTTGGCCACTGAACTGACTCCTATTTATGACGTTTGGAGCACCCGGGGGGGTCACATGATTCCCCTGTTATGACTTTCCGATCAGCAGATCAGTCAGCGGAGAAGCCAGATTCTCTTAACAACCACATTTATTACCTTAACCCCTCCTGCGACAACGGTGGCAGGAAAGTTCATAAAATGGGACAGAAGGAGGAGGAGGAGGAGGAGGAGGGAGAGGAGGAGGAGGAGGAGGAGGAGGAGGAGGAGGAGGAGGAGGAGAAGAAGAAGAAGAAGAAGAAGAAGAAGAAGAAGAAGAAGAAGAAGAAGAAAAGAAAGAAAAAGAAAGAAAGAAAGAAAGAAAGAAAGAGAAGTAGCAACAGATATTTGGTGCTCAATTGTGGTTGCGACAGCCTGTACATTGACCTACAAAGAAGGTTCCATTCAGAGAACCCTGGCAGAAGGTCACCCCCACCTCAAAATGAGGAGCAAGGGGTGAGCAGAAGTAATCCAATCTTCAGGCATTTTTCTGCACCTGCTTTGCGACACATGCTCCGTGAGACAATACAGGAAGTGTGAGATGCGTCTGTACGCCCAGTCAGGATCCTTTTCTGGAATGTCATTTGAACTGAAACCTGCGCTGGACCAGGATGGCACGTGGCTCATCCCTAAAGGGTAACACAATGCAGGTTGTTCAGTATCGAATCACAGCGAACGTGTGGGGCTCTCTGATAACCTCACACCTTCCAAAACAGCTGCACTGCTGTTCAGACCAGGAAATCTTTAGCCAGGATCTCGGCTGCTGACGTGCAAACACAGATACCCAATAGGCCATTGTAGTAAAGACCGAGAGAGAAGGCGAGGGTTATTTAGATTAGGACAGGACAGGATACGATATAGGACAGAAGAGAGACAGGATAGAATCACCTATGTTTGAGCTGGTTGGCCCTGTAGATTTGTTTATTAAATAAATAAAATAAAGACAGTAGAATAGAATTAGAGCAGAGGAGAGCTGAGCAGAGAAGAACAGAACAAAAGTTAGAAATAGAAGTAGAATAGTTTTATTTGGTCAATTGTGGTTAGACACACAAGGAATTTGCCTCTGGCACAGCAACACTCTGTGCTCTTGCAAAACAGTGCTATCCCTGATGATGTTACCTAGTTTGGGTCACGAAACGTCTGCAAGAAAACCACCAAGCTCAGAGAGCACCAAGGACCCCACCATCCTCCTCCTCTTCCTCAAACCCCACTCCTTTGCAGCACTGATGATGTTACCTAGTTTAGGTCACGAAACGTCTGCAAGATAACCACCAAGCTCAGAGGAGAACCGAAGACCGTTTCCATCCTATTTGGGTCAGAGGTATAACACTTTTGTTCCCTCCCAAGAGAAGACACACAATTTGGGATGTTCAGACTAAGGTAACTCCAGAAGGAGAGCTGGAAGGCTAGAACACCCTTTTGGGAAGTGTGTGTGTGTGTGCGTGTGCGCATGTGTTGGGGGGGAGAGCCATGGTGCCCTTCCCATCTCAAAAACTCCAGAGATTTCACTTGTCTCAGCTCCCAGGTTTAAACCTGCTTTGCAAAAGTTCTTGTCTGATTTTCCTTTTTCTTTAGTCCTTCCCTTTGAAAACTTTTGTTTGTTTTCACTTTCACCCCCTTGGGCTGCTTTTCTGGTTATTAGAGGAATGGTTCAACCAAGGTGAGTTTCTTCCTCTTTCTCTTGTCTTCCTGTCCCCATTTCTGTTCTCTCTCTCTCTCTTTTTTTTCCCTCCACTGGGCCAGATTTCTCTCTTCTTCCTCCCTTCAACATAAGAATAAAAGCTGGGAGAAATAAAGGTTGGGTCTCTTGCTTTGCTTTCCCCTGGGTGCATGTGTCGTTCTTCATTTTATGTTATTTTTCATCCTGTTTGTTTTCTCCATGGCTAGGAAATGCAAGAGGCTGTGGTGAATTTGGGCTGATTTTTAGGGGAAGAAACAGCTAGTTTCAGAATAGATGGAACCAGCAAAAATGTAACAAATGCTTCTTCTTCTTCTTCTTCTTCTTCTTCTTCTTCTTCTTCTTCTTCT